ACCTCGCCGGGTTAGCCACCCCGGGTCCTCTGACATTGATTCCTTGCAGGTCTCTAAAGAATTACGAAGCTCAACAATCAATCCAGCTCGCCACCAATCAGCTCGGCGCCTAATATGCAACTCGGCCCTCTGGTCAGCTCGGCACCTTATATGCAGCTCGGCCCTCTGGTCAACTCGGCACCTTACATGCAGCTTGGCCCTCTGGTCAGCTCGACACCTTACATGCAGCTTGGCCCTCTGGTCAGCTCAGCACCTCGTCCACTCCCAGCTCAGCCTGGTCAGCTCGGCATCCAGATCCTCACCTAGCAAAATTCTCCACTTCGGCCTCTGAGTCTTCTGAAAGGCTAAGTCCTCTTCTTCCAGAAAACTAAGTTCTCACCTTTTAGAAACTAAAGCTCTCACTTTCTAATTTTCACTTTTTATGAACTCAAAGACTAAGCAGGAAGTTGATGGCCAACAAACATAGCAGTTCTGCCAACTTTATTTCAACTCGGATAAAGCCTCATCACTCCTCTTCGCAAGGTACCCTCTACAAGATGAGCTCTTCGTGGCTTCCGCGGGAGTTGGCAGCCAACGGACTGCATGGACGCTCTTGCCGATCGAGCCTTCAAGGGCTCCTGCGCGAGCTGGTGACCTAAAGTCAGTAGTGTAGCCCCTGTAGGTCGAGCTCCCAGTAGCTTTTTGTAGGAGTGGGTGACCGGCGTTACTAACGAGGCTGATGTAGTGCAGCCGTAACTCTAAAGTGCCGAACTGATAAAAGACCTCGGCACCACATAAGACCCAGTCGCCTCTTCGGCATGGGCAAAATCAAGGGTAAGGAGAGTGGACTGCAAGTCGCTCCCAGAGCCTAAGAGCTAAGGTACCGAGCTAACAAAAGACCTCGGCACCACGTGAGACCCAGTCACCTCTTTTACGTGGACGAAATATAAAGTAGTTCGCATTCAGCACGAGAAAACAAAGGAAATACTAGTTCGCTCTCAGCACCATGATGGACACAAACTTGATTTCTTCATAGCCGACCTCCACCTCGGTTGCAGGCTCCGCATCAAACTCACTGGCTGGGACCAACTCGAAGGACACTGCGTCGAAGTCTACCTAGGTGGAGCGACCTGATAGAGCAGTCACACAGACCCCCCCTCTTAAGGACGGCATGATGAGCTTCACTCTTGAGGTACTTAGCCGGATCGCAGAACCTCTTGATGGTCACATCCCTAATAAGGTAGATGTCCTCGGGGTACCTGCTCCACCTCTCCTCAAGCAGATGAATTTGCTCTCGGGCCCCGAAAATAAAGATGGCGAGGTCCTGCACAAGGCTGCAAACACTTGGACTCTTCCAACTTGAGAAGCAAATTGGATCAACGCTTACGAGCTCATCGAATTAGTCATTCCAAGCCAAAAGGAGCAATCTACTCCCTTTGCCGAGTTACTTTCAGCTCGGAAGTGGGGGGCAATTGATGAGGGTGGATTTGGCCCTCCAATGACATTGTGACACGTGGCATCTCGGAACAAATGGGTGACACCCAAAACCACTTAGGCAACAACTTAGCCAAGATGATGGTGTCCCGAACTGGCGACCTAGCACAAGCGTCGACCTGGCGACTTGGCACAAGCGCCGACCTGGCAACCTGGCACAGGGCCGACCTGGCAACCTGGCACAGCGCCGACCTGGCAACCTGGCGACCTGGCAACCTGGCGACCTGGCAACCTGGCACAGGCGCCGAACTGTCGACCTGGCACAGGCGTCGAACTGGCGACCTGGCATAGGCGCCGACCTGGCGACCTTGCACAGGCACCAATCTGGCGACCTGGCACAGGCGCCGACCTGGCGAACTGGCACAGGCGCCGAACTGGCGACCTGGCACAAGCGCTGAACTGGCGATCTCGACCATAATTCAGGTCGGCTAGAAGCACCTCGTCTAGGGCCGACCTACAGTACCTCATCAATTGCCAAAGTGACCTCGATGCAAGGAGCGGCCTCCCTCGAGGGCATGCCGGCCTGATTGAGGTCCAGGTGGCAACCTGGGAGACGTGCTCGCCGACAAATTCGGCATGCATATCCCAACACTCCCACGATCCTTGGAAGTTGGCCCACGTACCGAACGTTTCGGAGGGTGGTCAACATTCATGGCAGTTGCCTCCGGGAATCTCAAAACACTTAGACGACCTCACGGAAATCTCGGATGCGGTGCGTGAAGCCCACGCCAAACAATACCTATATAAAGGCACCAACCCCAATGGCATAGGGGGGGCAAGTAAGCATATTCTAGTTCTCATACTTTATGATTTTTAGCTCGCAGTCTACTATGAGAGTACTGACTTAAGCATCGGAGCGACCTCGCCAGGTTAGCCACTCCGGGTCCTCAAATATTGATTCCTTGCAGGTCTCTAAAGAATTACGAATCTCAACAATCAATCCATCTCGTCACCAGTCAGCTCGGCGCCTAATATGCAGCTCGACACCTTATATGTAGCTCGGCCCTCTGGTCAGCTCGGCGCCTAATATGCAACTCGGCCCTCTGGTCATCTCGGCATCCAGGTCCTCACCCAGCAAAATTCTCCACTTCGGCCTCTAAGTCATCGACCACTTGGAAGCAGACCGAATGACGAGGTACTTAGCACAAAAAATTGATTCATCAGGTCCCAATAACTACAGTTGAATATGAAGAGAATAGTGTCACCTCGGACAGTTCAAATACAAACAATATGCTGATTTGAACGAGTGGTACTTCAAAACATCAATTTAAGATGGTAGATTACAGCCATCCAAAAGAGGAGAAAATCTAGAGGTAAAGAAGAGAACTATTTTAATAAACTTCTTGATAGCAATCCATAAATGGGTAAGGAGGACCATATATAATCTGCCTACTGTAAAACATTAGGAATTGTCAATATGTTATGCCTCCAAGCCTATCAAAATAAAAGGAACAAAAATTGAGGAAAGGTTCCACTGTTGTGGATATCAAGCAGTGGCTTGGGATGTGGTGGATGCAGCACAAAGTAAAGACATTAATTGACAAATATGATGGTCTCATTGAAACAATTGAAAGGTTCTTCCTGAACTTTTTCTCCTCTTCAACCTTGAGGGTGAAACTATCTCTAGAATGGGAACACCTTCTCCTTCCGGTGTCAACTGGTATCTTGAGTTTAGAAGAGGCCTAAGGGAAAAATAGCATGCCTCCTTGATCTGCTTGCTTGATATTCCAGAGACAGTTGCTCTGGACCGAAACCTGGATGACTCCAGAATTTGGACTGTTTCCACATATGGTCTCTTTACTTGTTATTCATTTTTTAAACATCTTGCCTCGCCTAACTCCCAATGGGTGGACTTCCCGGTGAAAGAAATTTGGAGTAAGCCTATCCCACCAAAAATTCAAGCTTTCTGCTGGGAAATTTTCCTTGGTAAGGTAAATACAGTGATATGCTGCAGAAAAGAAGGCCTTTTTCTTGCCTCTCTCCTCATGTGTGTTTCTTATGCAAGGTAATGAAAAGCCCCTCTTCCATTTATTAATCTCTTGTTCCTTTGTACTTCGAATCTGGGAGTTTTACACTGCAAACAAACAGAATTGGGAACAAACCTTGTAATCAGTTCAGATTTGCACTGCAAACAGATGACTGCAAAACTGAATCAGGGACAAATTACAATGCAAACAAACAGAGCCTAAAGATCATCTAAGCATCATGGGACAAATATTAGAATTTTGTCAGGGGCTGAGGGCCAATGTTCAAGAAAAGATGCAGTGGCTGGAAAACAAAGGAATCTCTGGCACTCTGTACAGACTGCCCTGATCTTTATGAAACTAATTCCAACCTAATTTATATATAGCACTATCAATTAAGAAATATAGAAGAAATGCAAAATTGAACTGGAATTTCTATTCACACTTTACCCTCTTTTTTTTTTTCTGAAACCCCTGAGGCCACCATAATCATTGCTCAAGCTCAACCTAAAAGTAAAAAGCATCCAGAGAAAGAGCCCTTCATCTAGCATTATTCCATCCAAACCCCTATGGGCTGTCATACAGCTGTTGGTACATATAGTCCGAATACATTAGAGGTTTTCATTCTATCAGAAGCAAATATGGCAAGATCTAGTGCAAGGAGAGACATGCAATGGATGACAGACAAATAAGCAGTGGGATAGAGAGGTTAGCCCATGCCTACCATTTCTATGCAGTTGATGGTAGGACTAACAGTAGTCAAATATACCTATAATAAAGGCATCCATAAAAAGTATTACTTGTATAAATGAAAAAAAAAAAAAAAGATCCAACTGCACACATAATGCATTCATGTTATCACCTAAACATTACTCAAGCAGGTTGACTTGGCAACAGATATGTATGAAGAGACCGATCATGAGGTTCAAACATTAAGATGAAATAATCAAAAGAAAAGAGACAAGAGAGAGAGAGAGAGAAACAGGTATAATTGTAGAAAATGGACTAAAATTGTGGAGAAGAGAGTAGAAAAAATGAACATTGGAATAAGAATCGTCGCTTTTTGTAGGTTTATAAATGAGGAAATATATGATATCCCTTAAAGCATCATGACCATTCACCTACAGTTCACGCTACAAAATGGTCAAATGTAATTTGGACTGCACAAATTGTAGCAACCTACTAAATGAACCATATAGCTCAAAAGAACCCAAAAAAGGAAAAGAAAAGAAAAGAAAGACAACTGAGAAAAACTTTCAAAAACCTCATTGATGAACAACTGGGCATCTTCCATGGCACAGGAACATGACCAAGGCCCAAAGTTTCCCAAGGTGATTAGCTTGAACCCAGCGCAAAATTATAAAGAGAAATACAACATAACAAGGCCCCCTAGGCTTAGGCTTCCAGTTTAGTGAAGACACAGTTAGGTTTTACTTCTTTGGGGCTGTTTGGATAGACTTCTACTTTTGTACTTTTAAAAATATCAAAGTATAAAGTACATAAAATACTTTTACTTAGGTATTTTTTCTTTGAAAACCGTTTGGGTAAAAAAAATTTGAAAAGTATGCTTTCCAAAACAGAAGTACCATTTTCTGTTTGGCAAAAGCACATGCTTTTGTACTTCTGGTGACGGTTTCTGGTGGTTTCGTGGTCTGAGACCGGTGATGGCAGTCCGACTCTAGCAGCGATGAGCGGAGGTAGGGTTGAGAGTTTTACCGAAGAGTGGTGGTCACACACGTGACCACCCGTTCGCACGAAAACGAAAGCACAATTTCGCCAAAAGCACAAAATTATAAAATGTTGACTTCGTGCTTTTGGGGTTTTTCATACTTTTAAAAGTATGAAAGAAAAAAGTATAAAGTACATACAAACGCTATGTCGTGTTTTTTGTACTTTTATACTTTCAAAAGTACGAAAGTACTTTATAAAAGTCTACCCAAACAGGGCTATAAAACCATTGGATTGGTTAATGAACCAACAGCCCAGATCGGTTTGATTGTTAACTTGCAATATACAATTTAATTGCAATATAATATGTACAAGAATATATTATGTGGTAGAAATGTAGAATTATACCACATATATACTTCAGCACATGCCCAAGCCAACCTGATCCCATCCAAAATTAACACTGGGCCCAGGCCCAGCCCTAGTTGAAAATGGACCAGGACTGGGATGGGACAAGTTCAGGCCCCCAAGATCCCATGGGTGATACCAATTCCACAGATGTGGAACTGTGTCTACTCACCTCATCAAGCAAGATCCTTAGCTATTGCTGAAGGGGACTCAACAAATGTCATTAGATGGCATTGAAGTGTGTGGGAACTGTAGTGCTTGGCCCATCTTGTATATGAGATTTTGGTACCATGATTCAAATTAGATGGATAATAGAGAGCTGATTCAGCTGAATTTTCAATTTGATGATGTTACATTTTTTTTGTTGGGGTTTACAGTGATAAGTCCTTACGCCCTTTATTGTGGGAGGGCTTTCAGTCTATACTAATGTGCACCAGTGGGAATGATGGGGAAAGAAGACTAAGAATCTGGGAATACCTTGTATCTCTTCATTTCTGCTCAAGGAAGAAAAGCTCTAAATTAGCAATTTCATTCTAGGTGACAGTGGGACACTTAGTCACCACAAAAAAACAAAGAGAGAATGTTGGGTAGAAAAGTAATATAAATGGTAATATGATAGGATGTAAAAACAGACATGCTAATGCTTAGGGCAGAATTACTAGCCGCTGTACAAGGGGTTCTTTTTGCAAACCAGATGGGGGTGGAGCATTTGATTATTGAAGGGGACTCTAAGGTAGTGGTGGGCTGGCTGAATAACCCTCAGAATGCTGCTTGGTGCTACAAAAATGAAACCAAGAAATTCAAATGGCTAACAAGGAATATGTCTACTTCTATACAGTGGGTGGGGAGATCAGCAAATACTTTGGCAGATGTGTTAGCCAAGCAAGGGGCAAATAGGGAAGACCAATTCTGGGCTCAATAGTGATCTGTGTTGTAATTTCCTTGTAATTTATTGGGGGAGGCTGCAACTCATGCCTCCCCAAGGGTTGTATGAGCTTTCATTCTCAAACCTTTTATGATTTAATAAAATTTCATCATTTATTGAAAAAAAAAAAAAACAGACATGCTAATAAGATGAAACCCTATTAATAACATTATAATAAGCAGCTCACCACCTTGTTACTTGTCACCTAAACAGGCATTTTGTCTCCTAGATAGACATATTTTTAATGTAACTCATGAAGTTAGGTGCCCAACCAAAGGTGATTTGTGCCCTGTATTTAGTAATTGGTAGAGAATATAACTGTAATTTCGGATCTCTTAATGTCAACTGCAACTAGGAGTGGGGTATGAATAGGTAGCGCATGCAAGGGTGTTCTAGCTTAGAGCATGAAATGCTTCCTTCTTTAGTGACCACCATTTCAATGTTCCTCAAGATATTTGGGGCTTTGAAGAGCCAGCTCCAGAAGAAACTTCATTTGACCTCTAGGTCAGTATTAGGAAAGATTGCTGTTCCCAATGAAATGCGTCTAGAAAAGATGAGGTAGGAAGAAACAAGACGATAAGCTAGCACCAGGTCAGGAGGTCTCAGTTCCAGTTTGGTCCCCCCCCCCCTCCAAGTGGCTTTTACAAGATGAATTTCGATGGAAGCAGTATTGGTAACCTGGGGCCTTCGGGTATTGGGGGTGTATTAAGGGATGAGAAAGGGAAAATAATTGCCTTGTTCTCAGGACCAATTGAAGCAGGTGACTCCCTTAGGGCTGAGATCTTGGCGGCATTGGAAGGTGTACAGAGAGCTAAGGAGATAAATATAAGGAAGCTGATCATCAAAGGAGACTCCAAGCTGGTAGTGGGCTGGTTGAAAGGAGACAAAAATGGGCTGTGGACGTACAGCAATGAAAAAATTCAAGTGGCTGACAAAATACATGGAAGTAAAAGTAAATTGGGTTAAGAGATGTGCAAACTCCTTTGCTGATGGGTTAGCAAAACAAGGAATAAACAGGGGTGCTTTGTTTTGGGCTCGATTGTAATTTTTCTGCTTTATTTGTTTCTTGTTGGGGGAGATAAGAGAGGTTATTTCCTCCCATTGTATCCCTAATTTTCTTCAATGAAATCTTCTATTATTCATCAAAAAAAAAAACAGTCAGAAGAGGTTTCAGAAAGAGAATTTAAGTATTTGAAAGAGATAAAAGAAGATCAAATAGGGCATATTTGTGGTCATAAAAAAGGGGTCACCATTTGGACAACTTTAGGGGATACATTAACTGATATTTCAAATGGAATCTTTATCAGTATTTGAGTAAATCAATTTCACTGTAAATTCCATATCCACACTATATTAATCCATGTTCATTAATAAGGTTAGTCAATGTTGCCCTTTACTTCTATCCTACTTTCTGCATAACAGAAGGAGAACATGTAGTTTTTCTTTCTTCTTCTTCTTCTTCTTTTTTTTTTTTTTTTGATAAGAAGTAAAGTATCAATTCATTCAAGAGAAAAGTACAACCAAAGGCTGTACAAAGGAGATACAATAATAGGATCAAACCAGAAAACCTTTGGGAGATACAAACAGACTTTCAAAATTAACAGAGAGGAAGGCAAGAATAGAGTATCAAATTAAACAGTTTTTCTTTCTTCTTTACTTCGTCCTCCAACTATTTGTGTGTGGTGAGCAACAACTTAAAACGAGAAATAAGAAACAAAAGGAATTCTTTGATAACATTGCAGGATGTTTAAAACCCATGTGCTTAAAAAGAGGAAGGCAAGCAAGGAATCCACTATGAAGAAGTTCCAGAAGTAAAAATTAGTCGTGCAACTTGGGTACCTCATTTGAAGATTTTAGAACCTCTCTCACCTTCTCTCATCCTGCTGCTAACAGTTGCAGTGGCGATCTTTCTTTTAATTTTTCCCCTTAGTCTCTCTATTTCTCTCTCACTCTCTCTTTCTCTCTCTTCCGTTCCCTTCCCCCTTCTTCCTCTTGCATTTTCTCCCCTGTTCATCATCTCTTTCGACGATAGCAGGAGCGGCGGCGTCTCAATCCACGGGAGTTGTCATCATTTGAATGCCAGAAACCTGAGGCCAAAGCCGCACCTCCTCTGTTCATCGACGTTGTCAAACCAAGATCTTGCAGCTTCGCCGTTCAGACGAGGAAACCAGCGAACTGCCGAGAAGGTGCCCCCGGGTAGAAGAACCTAATCTGGGAGTTCAGTTTACTCCTATGGATTGCTAGATCACCATCGAAGCAGGTCATCCTCTCTTTCTGCAAATTACCTCAGAACAAAACAGACTTCCGATTCACCTGCTTTGCAGCGTCGATCATCCTTCTCTCTGTGTGTAGTTTGTTTTCTCTTTCTACTTTTTCTTTCTCTTTTTTTTTCTTGTTTCATTTCTCATGGATTTCTGCTGTTAAGGATCTGGGATCTGAGTGAGGGATTTCTGAGTTGGTCGAGTACTTTGCTGACCAAAGAGGACTGTGAGGGATAGGGAAGGGAATGAAAGAGAGTACTGCCACAAATCATTCAGCAATTTTAACATTCTTTTGAATGATCTTGGTTAAAATTGATGATTGATCAAAACAATTCTTTTTTTCCAGGCAGTATTTCGTGGACATGGACGATACTGTTACCCAAAAGGTAGTTGTTGTTTTAATGTCTGATCCATTTTCCTTAGCTCATCCTATTTACTTGTTTTACTTGTTACTTATCGGAGAACGAATCTTCTGGATTATAGGTTTATGGTCTGACTTACTATGAACCTTGTTCAAGGGCACAAGGTGCCTCAAAAGGTTTGTCTTTGACAAATTAGAGATAGTAGGTGAGACCATTTTTCAAATGCTTAAACAGCCATGACCATGGTTTACTGTATGATCTGTTGGTTTTGTAGATTGTGGTTCACAAGACTAGTCCAAGAGGGATCCATTTTAGACGCGCTGGACCATGTCAAAAGGTATACTTTTCTGTAGTATTCTTCATTCCAAAAAAAAAAAATGCAGGGAGCATATGTTAACAAGACTTCCTTTTATCTTGCTCAGGTTTATTTTGAGTCTGATGAAGTGCATGCATGTATTGTAACGTGTGGTGGTCTATGCCCTGGGCTTAACACAGTTATTAGGGAAATATTGGGTGGCCTTAATTACATGTATGGCATTAATAGGATCCTTGGGAATAGAGGTGAGTAGCCATGTCATTAGAGTTCACATATTCAAGATTTTTGTTTCAGTTCAGTAGCTATGTCATTAAACATGCTTTGTTGGTTAATGGTAATTGTTTGACCTTTGAAATAATATTAGGTCCTTGTGTTGCTTTCAAAATTGGTCTCTTACCCATCATTTGCAAGCTCCCTGAGTTTAATTTTCATTATCTTGTAAAACATGACTTGGTTCACAAATAAATGATGGTTACACATGCACTATTTGCTAAGGATTGATGCAGGGACTTTGTAGGTTCAAACTGGAAAGCATCTTTTGCATTTTTGATGCATGGTTTCTTCTACTAATGAGGATGGTGGCAATTGTAGGGAGGATACAAGGGTTTCTATGCTCGAAATACCGTTTCTTTAACACCCAAGGTTGTAAACGACATTCATAAGTGTGGTGGTACTATTCTTGGTACATCACAAGGAGGACATGATACCTCTAAGATAGTTGACAGCATTCAGGACCGGGGTATAAATCAGGTATACAAAGCATAAGTTTGTCTTATTTCATATGTATGATAACTATGGTCACAATCCTCAGCATCCTTTGTCTCTTTCTTGGTTTTCATATGCTTTGCCATATTTCAGGTGTACATAATTGGGGGAGATGGGACACAGAAAGGGGCTTCTGTGATTTATGAGGTGAGTTCTTTTAACAAATTGAAAATTATCGTCTATTATTAGTTTGGGGGATTCTACACACAAAGTACTCATCATGGAAGAGGGGGAATATGATAATGGAAAAGAATAAAGAAATATGGGAAAACGAGAAAAAGAGATAGGGGAGAAGAAATGGGAGGAAGGCTGCTGCCGCTGCTCTTCTCGGCTGAGGTTGAAGAGGAAGGTGAACAGTAGCCCCTCTGGCCGATCTCTTTCTCATATCTTTCATTTGCTCTCGGTTTATCTCCTTTTCATTTTCATTTTCCTGAGAGCAAATTCAGTTTTGTTCTCGTTCCTTTTTATTGTGTTGGGTGCCAGTTTTAAATTTTTATCCTATTTGTATAGTTGGTTAATTAGGGGTCATGGCTTCGTGTAATGGTAAAACCTATGGTTGACCCTTGCTGTTCTAGAGGGTCCTTTGTTGATGTTCTTATGGTTTTTTCTGCTATAGATTAATGCTCAGAATGTTGTTGCATGGATTATGGATAGGGGAGGGAGTTGATGGCCCCTGTTCACTAAGACAGTATATCAGAATGATAAGAGCATTGTCTGATAGAGGAGCATCTCTCTATTTGTGTGTATTCTACATTTTCTTCCTTCTGCCTGTTTGCTATTATATGGTGGCTGCATGTGGACCATTATAAATTGAGCTTTTCTCTTTGTAGGAAAACATTTTCCATACAGTTCCTCCTAGTGCAGTGGAGAACTACAGAAAATTTGTTGAATCTTACTAGGCTCAATATGAGTTATGCTTGCCAATACGTTCCCTACATATATTTTCCATTTATTGGAAAAGTTACTTTTTTCTACATGTTTTTTCTTCACAAAAATATATTGGCTATAGAAGATGAAAAGAAAGAGAATAAAATTCACACACATACACGAAGCATTCATTCAACTATAGGAATATTGAGATGGAAGGCAATCTCAGAATGGTAGTAGACCGGTTTCAAATTGATAGCTAAAGCACATGTCATTACAGATTCATAATAAGGGAGGTGAAGCATTTGGCTATGCAAGTAAGAATAGATTTTGTCCAAGTGCAGATATCAACAAGTAGCTTTGCTGATGCATTGAGTTGACAAGGAGTGCAGAGAAAGCAATTTTTTTTGGTAATTTCTCTTTCTGTGATTGTTTCTAAATATGTAATGAAGAAACATATAATGAGTTAGGTAGTGGGGCTGGTCCAAATGCTCTTTTTAGGRGTTATGGGAACACATTTGACAAGTGTTCCCTTGAGGATAGTTTCAGTTGTTGAAGACATTGTTCCACAAAGAATTGGTTGGTTCACAAGATGAATAGCATGTGTTTTGGGGAAATATATGCTTAATGACTTTGTAAGATGGGTCTATTCTTCTACATTTAAAATTTGTATTTCTTTTATTTGTATGCTATATATATCTTTCATATATTAGTTGGTTCATTCCAGCAAAGACTAGGATTTGAATCCCACTGTCACAACTTTTATTATTCTTCCTTATAGTTCACTGTCCCATTTACTTGGTATTAAGCATGGGCGCCCCTCGCTAGTTTTACATTGCATTGGGCTCAGGCCCTCAGGCTGGACCCTTTCAAAATATAACAAATGTCCAACCCAAGTTGCAGCCCTAGTGAAAATGCAAAAAAAAAAAAAAAAAAAAAAAAGAAGCATATTATTATGAGAGGAAGAAACATATATCCTTAAGTATGGGAAGTATAATATGAGCCATAGCACATGGAGGTAATGAAACAGTGACAATAGTGACAATTGTCAAAAAAACAGGAAAAAAAAACAGTGACAATTGTGGTCATGTCATAACCAAGACGGTTATACTAAATCAAACATCATGTGCAAGCCAATGTTTTAAAAGGTGTTTGAGGTGTATGCCTGGAGGTGCTCCTCAAGGCAAGGCGCACTCTGGAAGTGTAGAAGCTTCTGAGGTGTACATCTCAGATGTGTTAGGTGTACACATCTAGTCTGTTTAAATAAAACATCTTACACAAAATAAACCCTACTCATTTTGGGCAATATTTGAGTTGATAGGTAGAGCAAACTTGACAAGAGAATACTAATTTCTTCAGTTCAACAAGCCAGGAAGATCTAACTGTAAAAATTATGTTTAGAGTAAATGAATAGAAGATCCATAACAAAGTTCACATTTAGAAATATGTCTCGCTATATGAATAGACACCAGTAGAATTTTAAATACAATACCATCTTCTGTATCCAATGGCCAAATATGCTTCGATAGAGCTTTATTCATTTGAAACATGTTGATGGAATCAACACGAAAAAGGGAGCGCAATGTTTCATCACATATTATATTTCTTTTGTTGTTTGGATCTTGCAAATTGTTCTCCCGAATATATGCCCACAGCTGCTTGACAACCTAGAATCAAAGTGTAGAAGAGCAAGAAAAACTATGATATGAAAGCTCCTTTTTCTCACAAATCAGTTAATGATGAAAACAATTTTTTTGGAAATTTCTTTATGTACCTCAGTTCTGGCCATTTCAGGCACTCCAACAAATTTTTGAAGAAGAGGAGAAAGTTTACATAATTTGGTGAATCCACCTCTTTTTCTGACATCTTTGTTCAGCTTGTTTGACCTGTGTAATAAGATAGAACAGCTACTTATTTAGTGAAATCGACAACCTGCAATCTGGCATATGATCATCTCAAAATTATCTTACATGCCAACAAAGAGAAAGCACAAGTTTTCCCCAAATAAGTATTCCATTTGTTTAGGATTAAAATATAACAAGCATACTTCAAATAAAATCAAAATTTTTATTCGACTAGTCATGTTACCATGATAGAAATGGCATAACAATCATCTTAGCAATCTTGAAAACACACTTTTGGGCTGGAAGACAACGGCTGGGATTCTGGAATTGTGGCAAGGGCTACAGCTGCTTCTCCGTGGAAATCCATCCATGCTTCTAGTTTTCTCCCATTGGATCAGGTACGATGTTAACTCTGGCAATCGAATAAAATTTTGGGAACATCTTTGGGTTGGGGTTTCACCTCTGAATGACCAGTTTCCTTCCTTGTATGCTCCGTCAAATTTGAAAAATGAACCTATCTCTTCTTTTTTAGTTCCTTCAGACTCCACTTCTAGTTTTGGGTGGAACCTCGACCTGCGAAGGGCAATTAGGGATACAGACTTGGACAGCCTCTTACCTTTATTAGCCATCCATGAGAATATCTTCCTTGATTCTAATAGGGAAGACACCAGAATTTGGATCCCTTCTACTTCAGGAACCTTCTCTTGTGCTTCATTTTTTGAAACCTTAACTCAGTCATCTGTCCCTTCTGGTGTGTCCTTTCCGATTAAGGAATTTTGGAGCAAGCCCATTCCTCCTCGGGTTGGTTTTTTTTGTTGGGAAATTTTCCTGGAAAGAATAAATACAAATGATCTACTTCAGA